ACCTAGTCAAAGACCCTTAGGACGTAAAAGCATAAGTAAGTAAGTACTGTAATGTAGTAGTACTCGCCTTCAAGCACCACACCAACAATGGTATTCTAAAAGTGGTTACTTTACGTTTATTTTGTACTTTAAGTTGGTGGTATTACCGTTGATTTTCGACTTAAATATTTTGTGTTGTATGTAGAATAAGTCATTTCCTAAAAATCCGGAGCACGGTAAGTTGTTCGCACCATACATTTCAAGGGAAGTTTCGAGAGTTTATAACACCGGCACGCTATGATGGCCATTTTGATGTTTGTCCGCTTATCAAGTTTCTTATTAATTCATAACTACGTTGAAGAAGCCAATTGATGTACATTATTGTCAATAGTGACGTGCAGTAAAATTTATAAGGATGTATAATTTTACGAAACGACTCGGCATTTGTTTTTCGAAATTTACAACAATGAAATCTAATACGATCGTCACTTATAGGATATCTGTCCAGCACAACTTCTACCTCCGGCAAACTCGCGTCAAAGCTCAATGCAAAACAAAGCAGTTTCGAATTGACGATATATTAAGTAAACATTTTTATTTTCGTTTTATTAAAACTTTTTAATCAACTACCCCTTGCAATACTGGTCATAAATCTAAAAACTTATATGGGACTCGCATTTGATTATATTTTTTTCGATAGTGGATTGAGATTTGAACTCACTATTGTAGTCTATCAAAACGGCCATCATTGCGTGCCGGTACTGTAGTTAGACAAAAAATTACTATTATACACAATTTTTTTATTTACTTTTTATTACTTAATGAATGGCTTGTGAGACTAATTAGTCTAATTCTGCCAGTGTCCGTTTTCTAGTTTCATAAGCGTCATTGAGGTTGTGTTAGACAATACACAGTTTAAATTTACTTTTTGTGTTTCCTGTCTGTGAGTTCTTTAATGACAGATGTCATGTTTGTTTAAAATATTGTTTTATAAAATTTAAATATAGTTATGAGTACATTGATCATTTTTGTTACAGTTAAGTAATCACTATACCCATTTTTCAGGTTCATTGAATATTTTTTTGTACATTTTTCTAATTATTATTTATATTGATTTACATTGGGATAGGCAGAGACTATCGATCGCCACTTAGGACGATCCTGACAAACCTCTCTCGCCTCACTTACATTCATCAGTATTTCAATGCGCTCTTAGTCTTCTCACTACGCACTGCACCCTTGTTAAGAACACGCTCAATTTGATCTGAGAATGTTTTTTGTGGTCGTCTTCTTCCAATGATGCCTTCCATGTTAGCTCTGATTGTTTCTTTCATTAAACTATATTAATTCATCTGTTCGATGAAACAAACCACACCACCTCAACGTACCCTTTTCTATTTTTGTTCATCCTCTATCAAACCTTTTTTCTATTTAATAATATTAGTAAATATAGGACACACTCATTTAGTGTTAATAGTTATGCTTAAATACTAAAGTACGGATTTATGAATATAAGTACTAAAATATGTAACTGTTAGTTCTTAAAGCAATTAAATGGACTATAAATATAAAATATTAAACGATAAGATCATTTCATTTAGGTATCTATTATAAAACAGCTAAACTATGGAGTGGTCTGCTTCCAAAGCCGACGCCATCTTTGGGCAAACATTTGCATTAATGAACTTGATATTTGCATATGGTGCGTTATTTTTAAATTAGTTCGTTTTAATAAAATCCTTATAAGAGACGTTTTTGGAATTGTATGTTATGAATTTATGACATTTACGCTTTTACTATATGTTTTTATAGAAAAATTAAATTCCATCTAAATAATTTTACCTAACGAAATGACAAAATGAAACGTATTTATTAAAATACCTTTACTACAATCTGAATTTACAATTAAATAATTACTATATTTTAAATTCCCATGCACAGGGTGTAAAAAATCAAAAGGACATGAAGGGGAAGTACTTTAAATGTTTAAGATGGCTAATTTTACTTAGAAGGGAAATATTGTTTTGTTTTTCTTAATATGTATAAATGCATTCACATAATCCCAAGTGTCTTTTATTTTTCCACCTATATTATACCTACGTTTTACTGCACGTAACTGTAATTACAACCGAAAGAAAATGTAAAATAGCAAACACAAGACCAAGTATGGGTAGATACAATATCATAATTAACACGATTAAATTTTTAGAAATATTACAAATCGAGCTACATCTAAAGGCACGTAATGTAAATGGACACTCGCAATGATGTCATTGCGAGTGCTTAGTACATACTAAGTTTACACTCATGTATATACACTTGCACGTTTACATGTTTCTTTTTGAGTTTATCCAGACTAAGGTCTGATCTTTTTTTTATGACTCCAAGTGACGCCTGGTGTTTAAGAACACGCATGTTCATAACAGTGGCAGTGCCACTCAGAGGTTTAAATCACAAAGATCTGAAATGCACAACCAGTGGGCCCGACAAGTGACAAGTTCCATGCATGTAATTTCACCAACTTCTGAACTATACCAATGCCAAACGTGGAGGTAGGTGACCTAAATCACAGGTTATATTTATTTAGGCTCCGGCAACTACAATTTCATTTGTTTCACATTTTTTTAATAATTTAAATTATTTATAGTAGTTAAGTGTATCCATTTTGCTGTAGAAACTTAGCAATAACATTATACGAACTGTGGCAATTAATCAACTTGTTTTATTTATTTCTGCTTTTTATTAATGTTATTATAGATGACTTAAGGCGTCACTAAAGAAGAAGTATGAAAACTGTTTGCTAGATCAAATGTATTTATTACTAAATAACAGTCTTATAAAAAATATACGATATAAGGATATTGTCTAAAGAATGTGTTAATTCGTTACACAAATAGGATGTACTTTACTCAATCATACAAAATCCCGAAAATAGGCTAATATAAAAGTCTAAAAGGAATTTAAGAATAAAAATCTATCATTGCACATAATTTTTATATGGAAATTTAACGGCTTAACGATACGCCGCGGCGCCCGCTGCCCCGTCTGTCGCCAACGGATGCTTGTCAACGCCGGATATGTGTAAAATTTTCTCCGCCTGTTCTTATTTTATTCATATTAATTTTAAGCGCGCAAATTGCGGAACGCGAGACCTCGTCTCCTAAAATCTAAGCTCGCATTCAAATGCCTCGCCTTAATCATGGGTAATTCTTCTAAGACGTTAGATATTAGACGACAGGGAATTTATGGCTGCGAAGTTTTGATTTAGGAGGGTTATATTTATTTTTATTGTTAGGCAATTAGCGTTGTTGATTGCGTCAAGGAATTTTCAACTTTACGCACCCTATTATTATTTATTGTTAAAGGGGCAGGGAGTTAATACAGTATGCAATTTGTATTGTTCAAGAAAATTGATCTACCATCTCGTGGTGTTAATATATAAGATTCATTGGGTTAAATTTAGTGCTGTTGAGTGTATCATAAATACCTACTCATAATAAATAGTAGTATTTAATATATAAAGAAACCACATATTAAAAAAAAATTAAAGACGATTCTCAGTTGAGCAAAAATTACTTTATAAATAAGGCTTTACAGCTACCAATGCGAAGAGGTCAAATTCAAACTACCCACGTACTCGTACTCACTCACTGAATTCTTGAACGCTTGCAGTAAGTTAGGTGAAAGAAATAAACAAAGAGGGTAATACAAATTGCGAAAAACTCCAGCAAACATTTTCACAATGACCGCTTTGTAGCTACAACTCACACGCAATCCATACGAAAGACATCAACGCGTTAATACATGCAAATCCATTATCCACAAAACGTAACTAATAAATCAAATCTTTAAAAATTTCGATCGAAGGCAATTTTCAAGGTAGGAGGGTTTAGTCACGGTTGATTCAGGAAAGAAACTTCCTTTGTAATTACATGCAAGGTGGGCGACGCGTGGCGTTCCACCCTTTGCACGCGATCTTACACGCATAGAAGAAATGAAGCGCGGCAAATTCAAACTTTCGTTCATCATAGGGAAGTAAATTAAATTTGAATCGTCAAATTTTTCGGGTACTCATAGTACCGGAAATCTTTATTTTGAAACCAAGTAATTCGTATCATTGTCTATTACACTATTTACTTATTTTTAACCGATTTGAAAAGAGGAGGAGGTTGAAATTCGACTGTATTTTTTTTATGTACGTCACGCGATAACTCGACGATTTTTGAACCAGTTTTGATGATTCATTTTTGTTGAAAACAGGGTACCTTAGATGTGGTCCCTTTAAATTTGAAGAAAATATTCCACCTCTAAGGGTGGCAAACTAGGGGATGAATGACTTTTGAGGTCGGTGTTTTATGGTATGCGCGTTTTACGCGTAAATAAAGCGCTAAGACAAACTTACTAGAATTTAACCACATCGCAAATTTCAAGAATTTCGTTGTAATGGGAAACATCGTCATTGGGATATATAATGACAAAGTTTCCCATTACGCTAAAAAAATCTGTGGTGTGGTTACACACTACAAATCTCGCTAAACATTTTTCGCATTTTTACACAAACATTTAAAAAAGCATCTCCATAAATATAATCCCCAAGCCCTCTTCCTAAAATTTCCAACTTTTACTTCGATTTGACAACTCCTTATTTAACTTTTTGATGAGACCTTCGATTTTGTCCATAAAATCTAAAATAAAATCTATATTCACTACATTTTACCAAGTTACGTTTATTGCTATTAAAATCGTTTTTTACAGTAATAGTCATCAATACTTTACGATTAAAAAGTCTGACATTAACTACTCCTCGGTTTTTACAGGCACAAGGCAACAAAAAGTCGGGTCTAGCGATAAAACGTGCAATAAGAATAGCTATGGTTATAACTACGATGTATGAGTACTAAGTATAAGTAAAACTATTCATATGTGCTAGGGCTAGGTTAGTTAAAGCACGTTAAGGCAAGGGTCTGCGGCGGGGCTGGCTTGTCCGGTAGCTATGGCCGAGCCACCGCCGCCGTAAAGCCATTCTAGTATGGCACGGGCCCACTCACGTAGCGGACGCCCGGCACTAACACAGGCGAAGGCGGCGCGCGCACGCTGCTCGCTTACAAAACAAAAATAAACTTAACAAAAACAAGTGAAGCACCGGACTGTTCCGAGTTTCGGACTATGTGAAACCGTGAGACTGTGTTATAGTGGACCTGTGTATAACCCTGTTGGATATTTCTGACATTTCGCACAAAGGTGTTCGGAGTGGAGCGAAAGTGCAAGTTTTATGTAAGAGCTGATAACTGCAATAGCTTTCGTAATTGTTGCGTGATAACAGTAAGTGCGCTTTGATTTACTTTGCGACTGGTTTACACGGCTCTTTGTCTCGGTTTCTTATATTTAGTTAGACGGACTTTTCCATTTATCTTTATATAGGTTATGTTACCGCATATTTGCATTCAACGTACTCGTAGTCTTTGATTACTTTTTTATTAATGGATAATTTATAGTGCTGTTTAAATTTCTTATGGCTTTCGTATAGAAACCATTTAGTTTCATTTTAATAGTTTAAATATCGACTGAAGTAAATTATAGCTTCCAAGGTTAGTTCTCAACCTCTTCTACGCCCTTGTGGTTGTGAAACTTGACTCATAAAAAGTCCTTATCTGATAATCTTATCGGTAACATTCCTTAGTGAACAAACAGCTTTGCTTGTCTTCACTTACACCTTTATCCTGTTCAAAGCTTTGCATATCATGATATAGCTAAGTATGGTGCATTTGACGTTTTATTGCTTCGTTTTTTATTTGCCATTGCTGTTAGTGTTATATAGGAAGCGTCTGGAATTAAACTATACATTTAAAAATAATATAATATTAAAAATATTGAAAATATTACCAATAAACTTTCTATAAAATAACATGATTGCAATTGTAAATATAATATAATATATTTTTTGTAATCCATTCTAATATCAGAAAAGATAATATAATAATAAAATAAAATGGGTTCCAACCTAAAATGCGTGTTTAAGCAAAAGCCATAATGTGCAAATGCATAACTTCCTTGTCATTATATTCATTCAAGTACACAGTGTGATCCCATAAAGTCGAAATCGGATCAATGCTCCCATGGATACTGTATTGATAAGTGTTAAACAACCCTTAGATAAAACTCACAGATTCACCTGTTGAGCTTGGACTACATATATACTTTCTGATGATCAGTTAGGCGTTTTATTACTGGTTATGAGCTAATGATAGTAAACACAAACAATACAATATTTATACGGAAAATTTGAAATCAACTCGAGAACATTTTCGGTAAGGCGGTACAAACTACAAGGTATGAAACTCAATATATTGTTGACTGTCCTCTGGACTAACTGGTGATTTGATTAAAAAATATTATGACATTTTGTTGTTCTCATTACATGAATTCTTTTCAATACGTTATAATGATACATTATACGTGTATACCAAGTTGTATTAGATCACTAAAATTATTTATATTTGGCTCAATTTACGCCGACATCCTAACAAAAATACTATAAGCTTATAATGTCGCCTTGCAATCCAATCAGTTTGTAACTGTTGTGACACTAAAGGCGTTTAGTTGGTAATTCGGAAACCACTTAACATCATCCTACTCACAATTAAGGCAATAATAAGGTATGAACACGGAATTACATTCCAGTAACGGCTTCAGTAATAGAACTTACTTTGTAGTACTGTTACGACTATTGACATAATGATTTTAAGTGTGTCAACATTGTGGGGAATTTCATTATCATCTTCTTCATCAACGCCAATACGACCCATTTGTGTTTGTGGATTTAGGCCGTTTAGGCAGCCCGCGATACTAGCCCAGTGTGGTTTTGTGATTTCATACGCTTTCCAAAGCGTAGTCATTCATCTTCGGTATACAGGTTTCAACACGACGTTTCCCTACAGCGAGGGAGTAGAGTGGCCCTCCACTAAACATTCACAATTGTGCGTAACATAGAAATTAAAAACCTAATCTTTTAATGCCAAGAATACATTATAATTAAAATATCGCATTAAAACTTAGCATTATTTATTTAAACCCCGGTTACGTTTTTCATACAAAACTGAGGGCATACTTGCTAGGGTCTGAAGCATGGTATTATATTTAGTATATACATTCGGCGTTTAGTGCTTTTCGATTTAGATCTTAGAAGATTAGTTATACGACGCCACTGGGATTCTCTGTCTCTCTCTTAATCTTCGTTGTCCTGCTGAACCACCACCGCTTTTAATTTGGAATTTATTAAAAACAAAGCATTTTTAAGTGAAGAAACGATCTATTTGAAATTTGACAGTCGTAGTTCACTGCTATGATTTACAGAGACTCACTGTGTCCATCTCTTGTCTTTCGTCTCTTTTCAGGACACATACAAAAAGAAATAAGGTCCTATATATAACTGCAAATTTTATAGCACTCTTACCTTTCGCCATTGTTCATAAAATCTTCCATAAGATTTCATACAAACATAAACTATCTATGGTACTTGAATTTTAATAAGGACAGCTGTTCAACTACACAGATTAATTACTTAATCGTATTAAATACATAACAGTAATTTATATACCTTTTGAAACGTTAATTAAAATTTTTGAACAAATTCGATGGGGGAAATTGTATCTATAGGGTAATCGAAACTGTTCAAACTCATAATTTATCTAGATATATTTTGGCAAGATTTGTTATATTGTACCCTCTAAGTAAACCAAGTGTGAAAAATATAAATTATTTAGTAATTTTGATCAGTCCCAATTACCCCATAGTTATGCCTCTGTCGACTACATACAGTCTTATATTTATTACTGTTCCATACTTTACGATCCATACATCAGCACAAACATTGTACATGTCTTTTGTCTTACGTCCTAACCATAAAATAAAACGTTATCTCTTAGGTTCCTTAAGGAAACCTTTTATCAAGAATACATTGTTACCAAGTTTGAAGTTAGCAGTTTATGGGCATGTGCCGCTACTCATTAAAAGTCCTATAAGTTTAGCACACAGGGCGATTTCAAATGTAAAATTAATTTAAAAATGGTAATGTAACTTGAGACTTTGTACGGACCCACAGAACACGTTCTGAAAGTCCACGTTCTTACCCTTTGTTTTAATAAGTTCAGTAGCAGTGAACTATAGCTCCTTGTCAAAGAATTCGTCCAGGGAAGCACTGCCAACTTACCCGTTTCTGCCGCCAAGCAGTGTTTCAATTATGAAGGATGCTCGTGAAATTACCGGCACTTGGGACTTGTCAAGTTATGTCTCAGGTTGACGGGCGCAATGGCAGTGCCCCTCAGATCTTTGTGATTTAAAGCTCTGAGTGACACTGCAACTGCTATGGACAGGCGTAACGCTTAAACCAAGCGCACGACTTGTTCGTCTTCCCACTTGGTATCATAAAAAAATTTTTCATACTAAGATACAAGTATGTTACGTTAAATCTACCTTTAGTGTTATAAATTGAGGCAATACTATGAATCCTGCTTTTCATGATTATAATCATAAACATGCATAAATAAAAAAAATATTATACATTTTTTATATCGAATACTATAATAGAAAAGAATAATAGAAAAAGAATTAATAGAAATTAACTATAATTTTGGTAATACAACATTGTATAGGTAGCTTATAAGAATCGTGAGCTTGCATCCCTTTTATAGAAAACTATTCACAGAAATAGTAAACAGATAGGGGCTATTAGCAAAACTTATGGGATACTTAATGGCAATTATAGTGAGCTTAAGCAACTTTGCAACTTTACTTAATTGTGAATACCATAATGGAATTTTGATATTCCATTTGCCATAGCGGCTGGCAAGAGCTTTAATTGCCAGTCTATATAGCCTTCCGATTTCTTTCGTGTTTAATGCGCAAGAATTTTTCTTCGCGTCTCGAATCATCTTCCGTAGGCTGCCTGCTTATTGTGTAATATGGATATTCGGAGCTTTAAATTACTAATGATTGCGAAGCACTGCACTGCACCCGTCACCCTGTTACGTACTAATGCTTACATTACTGCTTAGTGGCAGAAATAGGGTATGGTAGCGTTCACAACGAGCTCTACTGCTACTTCAAATCTACGCGTGCCCTGCAGGCAACTTACATTTTTTTTAAATAGGATATTAACGAATAAATATAGTTTAGTTTAGTTTTGTTTATTTGTCTCAACATTACAAATTTCATATAAATACAATTACATCTTATTTTATACTACTCTTCGAAAACTGAGCGTCAGTTTACAAAATAATGAAGAAATGTTATATAATAGTGAGTCATAAGTATACAATAGTGTACAAATACAAAATCAACATAATTAATTAAACTAATAAATAATTGAATTAAACTGACAATGTCAAGTGTACACAGGAAATGTCAATATGGATTCTTAATAACTAATAAATGTATGTTGCAGTTTAAAATAATGCGGTGAATGTCAAATCCATTAATAAATATAATAATTTATTAAAAACTTTGAGTGTACTCTGTTACTGAGTAAAAGTACATGTTACATTACATTAAGTACATGTAATCGTCTCTCAAGCAGAGGCCGAATTCGGATTCGCACTTCTGAGTTTCTCGGAATTTATATGCGAAATTTTATTTGAAACTTACCATGAGCCTTTCGGTAAAGGAAAACTTCACGATGAAAGCAGCACGCTGAAGAAGATTCACAACCCTCGGATAACGTGTGCAGTCCTCAATCCGCATGGGCCAGTGTGGCGGACTATGGTCTAAACCCTTTATATATAAAATATATTTGACATTTTTTGTGAAATAACTCCACCAGTTTTGTTATGATTACGAATACATAGATCGAACACAGTGAAAGAAAGAAAGAAAGACGGGAAGAAAATTTACTCAGCACAATTACATGTTACAAGTACAATATGATTTTATGCTTAAAGTTTATTGCACTGAAAAAGGCCCAACTCAGTAAATACTGTGGCAGAGCTACAGCGCTGGTTTTCAGTGGACCCTTTTTGAAGTGGCCGATTTGAAAATAAAAATTACAAATAAAATTTAAAGAAAATAAAAAATTGTGAACGCGCATTAAAATAGGTACAACATATAAATATCTCAATTAGATCTTAAAAATAACATTGTCACTATGTCTTTATGTATTTTAAGTTTCTCTTTGCGTTATACAAAAAAAAAAAAATTTCTCCAGGCTTATTTTGCAGTATTAAAATGTGCTCTCAAAGTTTAATTTTAAAATTAAATTAAACTAAAGTTTAAACAGATTTAAACTGAAAAATTTCGTCGACTGTCGAAATTTCCACGCCCATGCTGCA